GGTCGCCCACCACGGACCATCCACCGGCGACCGCACACCACCGACCGCCCAACTGCCACGCAACAACCGGCGCCGGAGGGGCCCGGTAATGTTTCCACATCGCCGCCGCTGTCCACGTTGGTCCACGGCCAAAAAAACGTCCGACCACGAAATAAATAAAATAAACAAAAATACTACAAAGTAACGAATAATATGACTTGGTACCCACTGTTGGGAATCTACGCCGAGGCTCTGCCGACCCCCGATAAGTTTGGGTACTGGCCACTATAACGTAATTTCCCAACACTGGGGAAGGTACTGGTGGTTTAAAAGAGGATAACGCCCCACTTCGCTGTATATAATAGCCTGCCAACCGCAACCCCATTTGGAGGAAAAAAAAAGAAAACAATCAGGATTTGAACTCATCATCCGTTCAGTAGTTGAACTCATCATCTGTTCAGTAGCAGTTACATCAACTTACAAAGCAAAACCAACTTTTTTTTTTTTTTTTTTTTTTTTTTTTTGGAATAAACACCCGTGCCAGTGTTAGTGGTGCTGATAAGAGCAGACACCACTAGCAAAACCAACCTACAACGCACATTTAAGACAGTTGCACTTGCACACCTCTGCATGCTTCCCCACCAATGGAATGATTCTCCGCCTGAGGGCCCACTTTAGGAGGATGCTCTTATCATCTTTTCAAGTGCCAACCCGCTCGGAGTTCTGTTTTAAAAAAAAACACAACAAACAACCAAAAAAAAACCTACATGTACTATGCATCATTCAGGTACATGGGCTAGTATTTGTTTCATGAACTTTCATCATTTCCAAAATGGATGGCAGATGATAAGATCATCCTCCTAAAGTGTGCATACAACTCTTTTATCAGTGGGACCAAGAAGAGAAAGGAATGGAGAAGGGAGGGAGGGATGCAACCTCCCTCCCTCCCGAGTAGGAGTAGGGCCGATGCCGGAGCCGAGGAGGCAGAAGTGCGAAGCCGGAGTTACTGTGATGGTTTCTCACTCTGGTTCTATTTGTCGGCACTTAAAAAAAAAAAAAAAAAAGGCCAATACCTCTCACCACTTGGTTGGTTTCCAAGTCGCGCCGGGTAATGCGGTGGCCAAGCGGGGTCGGGCCGCCATTGATGAATTCAATCGGCAGCCCGACATTTTTGCTTCTGGCCTTACTTTTCCGCCCGTGGCCAATGTATGGGAAACTTACTGGGGGTTTAATTTATGTCCTCCTTGAAAGTAAAGCCTCCCATGATGTGCTTTTAATATACACGAACCTGCTAGTATTTGCTTGTATGTTTTATTACCCCCAGATTCCCCCACCAAGTCGGTGCTGACTACCGTTTTCACCCGAATAGAACGCCCAGTCACTATACCCGTATTGGGGCAACTTCAGACCAGATGCAGCTATCATGACCGGGCGTTCTATTCGGGTAAAGACGGTAGGTGTTTCAAATTCACCACTACCAGAAAGCCTTCCACTGGAGTAATGCGGTTCTGAGTTTGAGAGGATATGAGGCTAATATTGAAACCTGCCTGTACACACAGTATGAGGCTAACATTGAAAACTGCCTGTACACATAGAAAGAAAGAATCTCACTGCCTAAGTGAATGCCACCTGTACACATATAAAGAAAGAATCTCACTGCCTAAGTGAATGCCGCCTGTCACACAGGAGTGGTGTTTTTTTTCTGTTCTTTCTACACTCTTCTCTCAACTTCAGTATCTTTACCTTCCATTACCTACTCCTAAGACTATCTAGAGGGGACCCCTGCAAGCATAGTTTTCCTCTCTCTGTGAAGGGGAGATTTCATGTTGCCCCTTGCCCCTAATGGTTAGGGTATAGGGTTGGGGCCGCCAGTGGGGGTCTGGCTAACACAAAGACCGAGACCTGCCAGTAGCTGTGCCTCCCTTTCTCATCGTCCCCCACCCTTCATCGAGTAGCAGCAGAGGCTATGGCCAGTTGATTTTTTTTTCTTTTTCTTTTAGGCACATATAAAGAAAGAATCTCACTGCCTAAGTGAATGCCGCCTGTCACAGGAGTGGTGTTTTTCAAACTTAGTTGATTTTTTTTTCTTTTTCTTTTAGGGATAATTCGCGAAATATGCAATAACCCATGCCATATGTCTCATGGAACTGAGGGTCATCAGAAGGCCTACTTGGCTGCCCTCAGCCCAGGCCGAACCAGGAAAGAAAAGGCCTTTCACGAATTCAGGGCCTGGGCGTGTGACAGTTGACTTTGTCAACTGTCGGTCCACCCAACAGTCAAAGTCCAAAGGTACCTAGCCCAGGCCGCACGTCAAGCACACACACTGGTTTGTACGCAGGTACCCAGACAGCATCAGGTCCAAGGGAGAAGTCTGCAACTGTACAATCCCGGCCTTCAGCTGTGAGTATATCTGGACGACTGAGGGGAAATGCACCGAGGCCAGACAGCCTCGCTGACTACTACTTAAGGCTGGCCTCGAGGAAGTCAAAGCACTCAGTCTTGCTATGCTGCTTTGACGCTGGCTCGACTTTGGCTAGACACTGGCTACATGCTGGCTGTGCACAGGCGCTGCGGGCTACAGCACGAGGTCGAGGCAGCTTGCTCGTGCTTTCTCAGTGTGCCAGGCTATGCTGACGTGGCGCTGCCTCTGGTGTATGTGGCACTGCCTGTAGTCTACGTGGCATGCTGATGTGGCGCTGCCTCTGGTCTACGTGGCATGCTGACGTGGCACTGTCTCTGGTATACGCGGCGCTGCCTCCGGTCGACGTGGCATGCTGATGTGGTGCTGCCTCTGGTATATGTGGCGCTGCCCTATGAATCCCCCTCGGCGGCGGACTTGCGCGGCCAAGTCCGCGGCTGCGGCCGAGTCCGCAAACCCGTGGCCGCGTCCGCACGGCGGCGCAACTTCGGGGACGCATAGCGGCCGGTGGGGAGGGGGGTTGGGAATTCGGGAAGCGCAATTGGGCGGCGCAACCCAGCCCCACCCCCTCAAACAAAAAAAAATGAAAAAAAAACAATTTTTGGGTGGGGGGGTTTGGGTGAGTGAAGGTATTTCGAAAAAAGAAAAAAAAAACAGCGCTTTTTTATTTTTATTTTTTTGGTTGATTGATTGATTGATTGGCCCCAACAGGCCCACACACACACACACACACACACACACACGCAGTATTGCATATTTCCATGTTCCAGTGGAAGATTCATTTAATTTTCCTTTTTTTTTGTTGTTGATTGATTGATTGATTGAGTGGTGGGGGAGGGGTCGCCCCACCCTCCCGCCACCCACCATGCGCACACACACACACACACACATACACACACACACACACCATCTGCCCCGCGCCCGGGCAAAGGCGCGTCGGCGGCAGCACACACACACACACACACACACACACACACACACACACACACACACACACACACACACACACACACATAGCTTTTCTTTCTCTCTCTCTCTTTCTCTCTCTCTCTCTCTCTCTCTCTCTCTCTCTCTCTCTCTCTCTCTCTCGGTGCCCTGGCCAATTTGGCCAAGGCTGCGCCCGACAAGGCGCTGCATTGCTTGTTAGCCGCTCTGAGGTTTGCGGCTCGGAAGACAAAATAGAAAATTTTGGGGGTATTTTGGCTGCTGTGCCCCGCTTAGGTGGTTAGCCCGGGGCATTTGGGTACATGTAGGGGATCGGGCCCCTGCGCAGCCCGGGGTTTTGCAGGGAAATTTTGGGTCCCTTTCCTATTTTGCGTCCTATGCAGGCTTTGGGTTCGTGTCTCTATGCTGTAGGATTTCATTTTGCATTGTTCTGTACCGGACCACGTGTTACTAGGACAAGACATCGGCAGGTTATTTGGGGGTCGACGTTTCGACACAGGATTTTGAGTCTTGGGTGGCACATTTTAGATTTCTATCATATTTACTTCTTGGGGTAGTTCAGGATCAAGTAGGCGAGCTTCTTGGCGCCCGGGATCTAGTGACAGTTTTGTGATCCACTGCAGGCCTGCAGGGAGGAGATATATTCGGGAAGCACGGCATTAGCTTCCCTCTGAGCACGCGAACTCGTTAGAGTTCACCCTCCTGATGAGTCCCGTTTTCTGGTGGGGCGGGCGAAACCGGTTGAGGGGTTCCACCTGTTGCTCTTTGTGGTTTCTGTGTTTCAAGCTTGCAGTCAATTGTTTTGAACTCTTCGTGGGTTTTTGCTCTGGCTTGTGCTTGGCTATGGCCGCTCCGACTGTGTATGCCGCAGTCTGCCTACTCTCTGGCTCGTAGTAACCGTCGGCTGTGCCTGCTAGATGGTGGCTGCGTCGACTTCGGGGGTTCTGGCCTTTTCTGGCCGTCTTCGCAGTATGGAACTTGGTGTTTAGCTTCACAATACGGAGGTTTGGGTGGTTAACTACGTTTCACTGGGCGGTGGTTAGGACGGGCTTTGGTGGGGAGGCTTGGGAGATTGCTGATAACTAGGCGACTCGAGACCATGCCAAAGCTGGGAAAATCGATTCACCAGATACTTTTTGGGATAGGATTTATATTCGTTGGGATAGGATTGATGATTGTTAGTTCGGCTTTGTGAGACTGAGATGCTGACCTTCTGCGCATATTGAGGTGGCCAGTTCGATGCGCCCAGGCGGAGACGTCCTTCGTATCGAGTGCGTACGATCCGGGTGTTAGTAAGCTATGTTAGTACGACTATCCAGCCTTTATTTTACATGATTCATTTTGTGACAGACGAGGCGTTACGTGTGGGGTTATACGAGTGTCTTATGTGAATGCTTATTAGGATTGAGGCCACGATACTGGCTTTGAGATCACGAAGAAGGATGAGGCGTGAGGAGATCGTGGAGCTGTGGAGGGAATGCCGTGGAAGCTACGAACTACTCTTCGTGGGGTTCTGTGATCAGGAAGACGAAGGCGCGAGGAGGGTTACTGAGTTTTCTTGAGATCGACCGAAAAGAGTGGCGTGCTGCGGCTTTGGTGATCTATACGACCTTCCACGGGACTTACGTGGCATCAACCACGCGCGTCGATATGTATGTGACCAACGGCCCGGCGGGGGGTGCCGGGGGTCAGTCGGGCGGCAGCGGTAATGGTTTCGGGGGAAACACTGGTGGGTACAACGGTGGTGGGAGTGGTTACGCAGGGGGAGGAGGAGGATTCGGGGGCGGAGGAGGAGCATTCGGAGGCGGGAATAACGTATGGTTTAATTGCGGGAAGGTAGGACATTTTGCGAGGGATTGTTGGTCGAGACGGAACAGAGGATTCTCGGGGAATAACGTAGATCTTGAGTTAGAGGAAATTACAGAGCAACATAGGCAGGCGAGGAAGGAGAGGCTGAAGTTAGAGGAAAAGAGGCGTTTGGAAGAGGAACGGAAGGCGAGAGAAGAGGATGACGCGAGGAGGAACGCCGATTTTGCTAGGAAGGCCGAGGAATTCAAGTTGCAGCTGCGGGCAGAACTCGTGGAGGAATGGCGAAAGGAGGATTGCGAGGCGAAGAAAGCCGTGAAGAAAACGAAACAGATGAGTAGGAGTGCGATCACTAGGCGGCAACGCAAGAAAGGGAGGAAGTTCGGCAGAACCGCTAGGAAGATAGCTTACTCCGAGATGAGCGATGATTCAGATCCTGATACCGGGGACTTGGACACGTCTGAGCTACAGTCTTCATCCACGAGTTCGGATGATTCGAAGCACAGGAGACGTGACCGCGCACGGAAGGGAAAGAGGAGGGCGAGAGGAGTATCGAGGTCGAGGAAGGATAAGTCTAAGGAGGTCCCGGGGGATATCCGGACACGAGTGTACGAACAGGGTGAGTGTTCGAAACAAAGGAAGGAGGAGGTTCCGAGGAATGCCGATTTGGGTGAGGATCGAAGGGAGGGCGAAGCTGAGCCTAGGACGCCACTATCAGCGGGTTACAAAGGTCTAGCTGCTGAATGCTCCTAGAAGGGATTGATCGAATATTGCATCTCGTCGCATTGGATCTACTCCGTGAAGAAGGCGAGTACTTTGAAGAAGTTATGCGAGCGGAAGGGGATAAAGTATACGGGGAAGCCGGACGAGGTTGAGATACTGGCGCGGCATCAAGTACACTTGGCTTACGATGGATTTGAGGAGGGTAGACAGACGGACGCTGGTGCAAAGAGGGGAGTTGAGATGGGATCACCGAAACCCGAGACCGGGACCGGTCTGACTGCGTGGATACAGCGCACTTCCCTTGGGTGTTCCCCACTACCCCTCTAGTAGTCCAGAATTCAAGTCTCAGATTTCATATTTAGAAGAATCAATTCCCTATTTAGAAGAATTGATGCCCAGCCTATTTATAGCAGCTAAACCAACATGAAAATGCAGAGACCTTACCTTGAAGTAATTGGAATATCAAATAACTTTAATAAAGTTAATAAACCAGAAAACCCCAAAAGAAAATCCAAAAACCCTTTTGAGTTACCACTATCGGAAATATATATCTGAATATAGCAAACTCAAGATTGTAACTTGAAGTAAAAGACCTACCGAAGGCGACGTAACCGACATTCATCTGCCCTCTCCTCCTTTTCTCACCACCGTCCATTTAATCCCTTCCTGTGCTCAACGTTTCACCATCTGATCTCAAGCCACCCGCCAAAAAAACACACATCTCCCTCCCCCTTCTTTCTCATGCCCCCTCATTCATCTGCCCCTCCCTTCTTCTGATTCCAATGCCTTCTTCTCCCCTCCCTCCCTTCCCTCCCTCCCTCCCTGGCGCCACCTCTCCCTTCCCAAGTTCCCATCAACATAAGAAGTGAAGCCTACCGCCAAAGGGAGAGGCAAAGTAGAAGAGTGAGGCTTAGGATCCAGAGGGGGGAGAGGAAGAAGAAGAGAGGACGGAGGTGAAAATGCGAACCCCTGAGAAGGAACAAGGCTAAAAGGACCGCAAGAAAGACACGGAGAAGGAGGAGAAAGAGAAGGAGAAGAAAATACCAGAGGCTCTGATCACATGGGTAGCTACACCAATCATCATCACACTACCACTACACTGCCTGCTGCCTCCAGCCTCCCCTACTATGCCCCCATCGAGCGTTGACAGAGAGATGCACCGGAGAGCCATGAACCTGTGCGGCTTATCTGTGCTAGCAGTGCTTCCAGTCGTCACCTGCCTCTATCAACTGCCTCTCGACACAGGTGGTTAACGGGGACCCCACCACTTTCAGCTCCTGAGTACCCGCGAGCACCGGATGCGAACCTACCCTATGGGTTAGGGAGATGTGTAGGCTATTAGGCTGGCGGGCGCTGCCTGATAGTGTGTGAGAGAGATGAAGCGATGGAGTGAACAAGGAAAGTGAAGATCCTCCCGTGTCCTGTCTCTCCTTATGCTGTTACAACGGCAGTACTGCAAGCAACCATTCTGTTGCTCAACTTGTGTTTGCCACCCTGGTGAGGGGCTCTCTTGCTCCTCGATATCTCAATTTACCACCTGCATTAACAACTGTTTCAATCTGGGACACCGGGACCACTTCCCAACCCGTGATTTTGCACCAGGCGCGACTGGAAGACACTGTGCGGTGAGCGAACATCATATTCAACTTGATATATCTTAAGACCATTGGCCTTTCTAGACCACCAGTACGTCCGAGCCTCTTCTTTCTGATGTGCGGTTATGCCTGCCCCTCACCTTCTGAATCATCTCGTAGGCACAAAGCCTACAGGGCACCGCTTGTCATTTTAGTCTGATAGGCCGAGCCATTCTGCGGCGCTGTGTTATTATAACCCGCAGGTTCCTGAAGGATAGCTGGAACAAGTACTGACATAGTTTCTTTGGTAAGATTGCGGGGAAGTCACCATAAGTTTTATAAACGTATTGACTGACTCCGCCATGCAAAACGAGACAGGAGCTCCTACGGATGTGAATATTAGCAAGGTGGAATACTCTGCCGAAACAGCTGGAATCTAGATATAGATGACTTGGCGAAACGCCACAAAAGGTGCACAATGGATTAGAAAGAGGAGCCTCAGGACAATATGCGATATAAGGGAAGATGGCTTCCTTAAACCACCAGCACTTGGCCCAGCTATCGGCCGTGGGAAAAAATAGAGTAGAAAGGTTTCTACTCGTATGAATTCAGGCGCTCCTGTAGTGGCCTGTACATTTCCTAAAATTGTGGTTTGTTAACGGGCACGGCTTTAGGAAGTACACTGCTGGTGGTTTAAGTGGAACAACTAGACGCTCCACCAGACAAGCTGGCCCCCTCCTACCCTTCACCTACTTTCATATAGAGCTACCTGGAGACTGGTTAAGGGCAGTTTTGGTGGGAGATTTGCGTAGCTCAGATAGGTCTTCCAGGTTGCCCACCCCCTTAACACAACCTTCCTCACGAACAGCTTTCCAGGTCCGAAGTCAGCTGCCCAACCTCCCCGCTCATACCCATGGCACCCCCTCTTCGCTTGGTTCTCCGCCCCCTCCCACCCTTGCTCTCTCCTAACCTACTGATTCCTTCTTCTCAGCCCCTGTCCTCTACCAGTTCCTATCCCCCTCTTCCTTTCTCCCCAAATCCCATTGTGCCAGGTTCTCCCCCTCCCCTCCCCTCCCCTGTTTCTCCTCTCACTCTCCTTCCCCCCTTCCATTGCCAATATCTTCCGCCCCCATAACCCCACCTCCCCGTTGTACACCCGCTGTAGCATATCAGAAAGTGAAATGCACTGACAGCCTAGGATCTAGCAATGACGAAAGTGGCAACAACCAGCAGCATAGGTGCAACATTCACAAGATGTCAATGTGCACGATGCAAAGAGTAACCCAACGAGAAATCAACAACAACACATTCGTATCATTATCATCATGGGCTGTGAAGCAGCGCAGCGGAATATCTAGTAACCAAAGGACACGTGAACA